TCCGTGAGCTCCGTCCAGCTGTCATTTGCGTGAAGAACAGTCGGCCCTTCAGCCGACCTTTCTTCATGCTTCGGGAATCATTATGGCTCAGCCGAGCCGAAGTATTCAGCTGCTGTACGGACTATAGCAGAAGACTGAACCAAAGGTCTCCAGCGGCCGAAGTGAGCCGAAGGATGCCTGGATCCTTCGGCTCATTAGTGAATAACCCTGTAGATGTCCATGGGAACAAGTCCATAGAAACCACTAAATACCGGGGAGTTTTCAGCATGTTAACCACAGGCTGGTAAGATTGGAAAGTACTCTTGCCCACTAATGGAGGGATAACGGGAAACATCTAAATCTCTTCTCAATCTCAAGACCACAGAACAAAGGAAAATGCCAAGAGGACCTTTAGCTACTGTAACTTATGGCAAACTGGGGAAGAGAAGTAATTTCTGTTTTTGGGGGGATGTTATGCTATGTGAGTTTTATCGTGTGTGTTATACACATTATACTAAATGTGTTGCTATGTTTACACGATTCAAACATAAAAATCCAGGAGAAAAGTGTTGTACTCATTTCTCTCCCCAGATGCCACCTTTTTTCTCTGGCACAATACTATTTATAGAGTTTAAAAGGTATGCCCTTGTCATTTTCAGAGAACATTATTCATATTATTCTTGATGATAAAATACTTTATAATACTTTACAATCCCTTTCAGAGGATCAGAGGCGGCTCTAGACTTTGTGAGGCCTTAGGCAAAACTCAAAATGTGAGGCCCCCACTTACACCCATAATCAGGGCTTGAAAAATCCACTTGTCCTCTCGTCTGTGAAGGAGCCCGACGAGTAGTTTCCCGGCCGGCCATTGCAATTACACGGTTGGCCGGGAGCTTTACATTCAAGCGATCGGGCGTCTCTAGAGACGCCCGACCGCTTGTATAGGAGCAGGTGTCACTGCCTTGCCGGTCCTGAGATCCGCTGTGCCGGATCCGGCAGGCACGGCTGCTCTGTGACAGGAGATTAACCCTTTCGCTGCCAAGCCCTCCGGAACATTTTTCAAATCAGCTGGCCAAGCCATTTTTTAATTTTCTGCAATTTTTTCCTATTGATCGGTACACAATCTCTCCTCTCAGTCCCGATTGCAGCAAGTGATGTATATAACATCACTTCCTGCATTCAGTGTCACTCTCCAGCTACAGAAGCTGATGAAGCAGATCTCTGGGGGTCTCTAGGTCACATTAGGGGGCCTTGGAGACCCCTGATGTCTCCATAAAGAGGGCCTGCCATGTAAATTGGCTATCACATAGGGGGCTTCTTAGATTCTTAGCCCCCTATGTGATAGCAATAAAGTTGTGTACAAAAAAAAAAGAAATTGCACCTATTGTGCCGCACATGTTACATATGGCTGCGAAGTCGGAGTGAGAGCAATAATTCTAGGGCCATTAATTACTGATAACACTAAACTGATGAGCGGTAAAAGCGTTTTAAGCGTCGCCAATGGCCATATTTTAGTGTGGTGGTTTGTTGCGATTTTGCGGGCGCACGCAATTTTAAGGATTGACATGTTTGGTGTCTATTTACCCGACGTGACCCCGACTTTTATGTTTTGCCGAAAATATGGGTAAGAATAAATGTTTTATAACATAAAGGAGGGAAACTTTTTTGTGTGTGAAATTTACGGTACTTTTTTCATTATATAGTAAAAAATAACCCCTCAGTGATGATACTATACCTCCAAGAGAAAGCTCTATGTGTTCCCAAAAAATTTTAACATAAATTGCAAGGCTATAGTCCGGTCATGCTGACTGGTGACATTTTTGACTGACTGGTGAGACACCCTAACATTTTGAAAGCCCTGTCACTAATGGAATAAAATGCCAACAAAAATTAAAAATTAACTGCATAAATTGCATATTTTAAGACAAGCGTTTTTAATTCCAGCAGCCATTTCTGTCTCATATCTAAATTCTACATATAACTATACACAAAACCCTGACCCTATGGAAGTAACGCACAGAGTGCAGAGGTCGGAAGTAAGGAACGCGCAGAGGGCAGAAGTAAGGAATGCACAGAGGGCAGAAATAAGGAACCTACAGAGGGCAGAAGTAAGGAACGCACAGAGGGCAGAAGTAAGGAACGCACAGAGGGCAGAAGTAAGGAACGCACAGAGGGCAGAAGTAAGGAACACGCAGAGGGCAGAAGTAAGGAACGCACAGAGGGCAGAAGTAAGGAACGCACACAGGGCAGAAGTAATGTACAGAGGGCAGAAGTAGGGAACGCACAGAGGGCAGAAGTAAGTAACGCACAGAGGGCAGAAGTAAGGAACGCACAGAGTGCAGAGGGCAGAAGTAAGGAACGCACAGCGGCAGAAGTAAGAAACGCACAGAGGGCAGAAGGAACGCACAGAGGGCAGAAGTAAGGAACGCATAGAGTGCAGAGGGCAGAAGTAAGGAACGCACAGAGGGCAGAAGGAACGCACAGAGGGCAGAAGTAAGGAACCCACAGAGGGCAAAAGTAAGGAACGCACAGAGGGCAAAAGTAAGGAACGCACAGAGGGCACAAGTAAGTAACGCACAGAGGGCAGAAGTAAGGAACGCACAGAGGGCAGAATAAAAAAGTTCAGTAGTAAAGAACGCAATAAATCCTGCTTTCCTATCACACAGTATGGGGTGGCATGGCATGGGTTGTATGTGACAGCAGTCTGGCATTTAGAAGCATTTGCTCACTGGTACTGGGCAACTGGATTTTTTACATAGAACATTTTTAGCAGCCGATGTAAACAATGAGGGCCCAGTCACACTATAAAAAGTGCGTTGCAGTGCATTCAGCTTTTGGAACGCAACTCGGCCAGCTCACTTTGTTTTGGGGTGGAGGGGGCGTGACGGTGCATTGAAGTCCATAGCACCGCAGCCACACCGCCCGCCCACAGAGCGATCCCCAGCACCCAAACACGTGGCAAATTAGTGCCTGCATTGTGATCTGCAAAAAAGTATTTTAGCAGATTGCATTGGACCAATACACGAGAACTAATATTCCATGCGTTTGGGTGCCTTCACTGTGTTCCAGGGGCGGATTGCACTGGAACGCACTCTTTATGGCGTGACTGGGTCCTGACAACAGTATTTTTTTTTAAAGAATTAATTTTATTTTTTTTGTAGCATGTATTTTAATTTTTTAAGGAGAGGTGCTTCACTTACCTGAAGTCCATGCACCTGCTGCTCCTGGTCGAGGGGTTAACTCCCTGTGTCCCAGACCTTCTTCACCCTGATGGTATCGGCCTCCTTCTTGCTCTATTCCAAATCTGATGCCACTGTTGGCTGCTGGAGGAGCGGGAGCCTCTGCAGATCCATGGCACCGGACGGGCCCTCTCATCTCTCTGTGCAGGGAAGGAAGTGGCGCTGCTGGCACCCCATTCTCCCCGCGAGGCCCGCAATGGCAGATGGGGAGGCGGCGGGGCTTGTGCGAAGGCTGCGGACACCCCATTCTCCCCGCTAGGCCCGCAGTGGCAGATGTGAGGGGGCGGGGCTTGTGCAGAGGGTGCGGGCACCCCATTCTCCATGCGAGCGGCGCGAGGCACACAGTGGCAGATGGGGGGAGGGGCGGGATTGTGCAGAGGCCGCGGGCGCTCCATTCCACCCGTGTGGAAATTGTTGCAGCTCCCAGGGAGGGACTCGCCAGAGTCAGGTGAGGTGAATCTGCAGAGGTGAGTTAGGCGGCCGCGAGGCCCCTGTGAGCGCGAGGCCTTAGGCGACCGCCTAACTCGCCTAATTAGAGAGCCGCCTCTGCAGAGGATACATATACAGTAAACTCTCTGTTATCCGGTATTCAACTAACCAGAACTCTCTAATCAGAAAAAAAAATCCCCTTTGTACTGACTGTTCTGCTGATCTGTGACATGTGTTATCCTGGAAACGATCGTGTGTCTATTTGTCTTCATTTGCTTTTGATTACTGCATTTCAATAGAAATATGAAGTCACTACAGAGTTATGTTATGGTATAGTATGGGGTATGGCATTAGGTAGACATATTTTAATAGTGATATACAGATGTATCTTGCTGTACTCCTTACCGGATTATGTCGGTAACCTGTAGAGTACAGGTGGGTGCTCGCAGTGAGTATACAATGATTTCAAAAGATGTCCCCAGCGCACCATTGGTTAAGTGAAATCTGAGCCTGATGAAGGCCACAAAGGTGCTTGTATTTGGATGGCATTGTTTTGTCATTAAATGGACTTTGGCTAATTTCACTTAACAAACGGTGTGCTGGTGACATCTTTGAAATCACTATTTTTAATAGTAACTCTCAACCAACCAAAAACCTAATTTATCCGGAATCTACCAATCCCTGTGCATGCCGGATAACGGGGAGTTTACTGTATACTGTCCCAGGAAGGGGGTTAACACCACGGTCTTCAAGTTGTTAAAATGGACACTTGTAGTCTCCATTGGAGGCACATGTGACAAAGTAGCACAATTGTGGTATACATGGACAGAGCATTGTTATCATATTACAGGAAGTGGCCAAACAAGGATCACAAGATATTAATTTGAAGAAATCTCCAAATGTAAAAAATATTTTAAGATTTAAAAATATTTAAAAAATTATTTTGCTATTACACATATGTTAAAGTTTATATGCGATTTTAGTGATTGGGTTTGCATATACTTTAAAGCAAAATTCCTATTCCATTTCCACGCTGATTTCTGTTACATAAAATTACTGCCATTGTTGCTGCATACGGGACAAATCTATGGTATATAAATAGAAATATTATTGTTCAATGGATATTTCTAAGTATGTGCCACTGCTACATCCAACATGCCTGCATTCTACACAATAGGCACAAGATGTCAGGATTTGTTCTGTGTTCATTATTTGCTCCCACAGCCTACCAAAAAAAAAAAAAGAAAGAAAAAAAGGTTTCTCTGCAGGTTTAGACAAAGCAAGTTTGTCAAGAAGAAGTTTTGCATCCCAATAAAGTGAGCACAGCAGTACCTCCTATGAGCTGCATGCTAATAGTAGCAAATTCTTAACAACAGTGAGAAGAAGACTGAGATAAGAGGAGTGCCACACAAAGCTAAGCTCTAAGCTCTGGGGAGACACTGAAGAAGCTCTAAAAGTCACAGGAAATCTTACAAGTGGAGTGCGTCTTGAATTATTCAGAGTGGATTGCAAATTTATAAGAAGAACATTTTCTGCTGGTTACTCTAGGCTTGGAATAGCCATGCATATATTGGGTGCCTTCAAAATGGGTTTAAAAGTCCTTCTCCTACTTGCTGCATTTCTTCTGGTCTGCGATGGTGAAGGTGAGACTGGACCTAATGGAAGCCCCTCCTGCTATGGTGGTTTTGACCTGTACTTTGTGTTAGACAAGTAAGTACTGAACACATTCTGATACATACCAGAGCTAATTTACATCTTGATGAGTTACCTCTATATCATGATGAGTTCTAGAGAACATTGAACTGTTTGGTTACTTTTATTTTTTTTGACAGCTATATCAGGGTCTGACTGAATGATTGTTGATGAAAGAATTGCATTAGATACTTCATTAGATTTGAGTGAATACACTGTAATGGTGTCCTCAGCTGCATGACCTACATTTTGATAGCTCGCTGATGCATTTCAGCAGCTGACCTGAAGTCAGCAGCCAAAGCAAGTCTGCTGTACTAATCCCTGGGTCAACTTTAACCTGAAGTTGGCAGTAGTGATATCTGGGGTTGGGGTGACCAACCACTCATCTGGAAGAGTTTCACCAGGGAGAAGAACAATGGTAAACAGTAAACCATAGCAACCAGTAGGAACCCAACTTTCTGTAGTCTACAATATATTCTGAAGCTGACTTCTGGTTGGTTACTATGGGCTATTGCACATTGCTATTTCTTGCATGGTTGCATTACTAAAGAAAACCCACTTGACTTCATAAAATAGTTATTTTTGCAAAATGTATGCCTTGGTTTGTATGGGAATACAGATTAACTCAAAGGTCATAGTCATGGAACAATGGATTTTTCAGGCTAGTGAGTAGGTGTCACAAGCTTTGCAGTTCTCTTTTATGGCAAGCCAAGCCACCTGCTTTAATGAACCAATATGTAAGTTGTCTGGAGCAGTCGTCTTTCTAGATGAGGGATCACAAAGCTTTTCACTGAGCGCTGTCAGCCACATAGTCAGTAGGAAGCTGCCTGCAAACTCAGGCACACACGTTCCAAATGGCATACAGATGTGCACTCTGAAAAACAATATATGCAAGTCAAGTCTGAATAGGTGACACTTGAATAGAGCATATTAACTTTATTTCCACACTTTGTTAAGCTCTTTAAAAGCAATGGAGCCTCAGCCTGATAATGAACAACAAGGCAGGTTGGCTATATAAAGAAAGGGAAGCAGAACTTGGATTTGACACTGTACTAGTGTTTAAGTGCAGACCTAGCAGACAAAAGAAGAAATGAAACTCGTAAGTGTTGGCTGCCAGACAGTGTCTGGCAAGTTTAAATACATAATGTATTATTTAAAAGGGTTGTGAAAGGGGCCACAAAGGTGTGCAAAGTACAGTAACCCAGTGCAGTCATTCAGTTCTTACCTTTTTGGTTGATACATTTTCTAGGGTGTTTTTATTTCATGGTTCAGACTGTATGGTTGCATATAGATCTATGGTGGGCAGTTACACTCAGTTGTAGGAACAGACAAGTATATGGAATTGAATGTTGACTTCCTATCATATGCTACTCTTTGTTAGCAGTGACTGGACCGGCAGTGCAAATTCCTGGAAGCAAACTCAGTCCTGTGCTCCTGTACACAGCCAGCTAGTGGGCATGTGAGGCTAGTAGATCAAGAATAGCCTAATAATACTAGGTCAGAAGTCTTTGTTTTCAAATGTATTTTTTGCACACAGTTAAGTCAAAAATGTCTACTCTCCCTAAAGAGCAGGTTATATATGATACCTGAACTGACTTCAACCCCTAAAAGGTATCTTCTTAATACTCAGGGATGCAATATGAATGCATTTGTCACTTTTTGTTAAGATAGTAATTTATGCTATGTTCGAGAGCCAACCTGTTTTATACAGGAGGAATCAAATATTTGATCCTGCAATAGACAGTAGAGCTAGCCATTCAATCAATGCATGCTTAGACACATTTGGTTTTTGCATAAGCACATTTTCCATCCTACCCATTCAACTGCCATATAGATACTAATCATGCAAGATAGTTGGTTTCATTGCATATGAAGATTTGTCTGGTTGTAGCCCCATTTTTTGAAAACAGGCCATTAAATCTTCTCTAAAGCTTGGCTATGGTAAGTGTAAATAATATTAAGGCAAATGTACCTGTGCATTCAGCCATAAAGCACATATTTTAAGTGTCATGTCAGGGCAAGCAAAGACTCAGCAGTTAATGCTATGCAGGCTAATGGCCTTGTTCACAGCTCTGCTGGGTGACCAAAGCCTAGCAAAGAATGAAAGACCCAGGTCTTCCAGCCCAGACCATCAATCAATCAAGCTCTACAATCTTACACTTTTTTTTCTGTGGGCTTGTCTACTAAGTCTAGGCTCTCAAGAATGAAAGGTCCAGGTCACCCATCCCAGATCTTCGATCCATGTGCATAACATCAATGTAGTAATTCTTCATTCATCTTGTAGTGGGTGCAGGAGATCATTCCACCTCAACATACATTATGAGCACGAAGGTAGTAATGGAGGTGTTCAGATGAGTCAGCATCTGTTTGTTTCAGGTTTATCCTGACCATCTTTATTTTTTACAAATCTCTTTCACTTTTGCATGTATGTTTGCAGATATTAGCAGTAACTCTGTCAGTAGATTACAAGTTCTTTGGATCCTTAAGGTGAACCTGTGCATTGAAACAAGCCCTCATTGAACTTTGTAGCTGCAGGAACTGTGAGTCCTGCTGTAAGTCCTGCTCTCAATAGCTTAACTGGACCTGCTTCCCCTCCCAGCAGTAACTTAGCCGCCTTCCAGATTTTTCCACTTTTATACAAACACAGTGCAAGTGCTCCATTAGGCTGAATTTTTCCATAGTGTCCTTAGTTGCAGAGGTCAGTAAGGGCTTGTTGTAGTGCTGGCTACAGGTTTACATTAACGTTTTTGCCAATTGCTTGGTACCAGCACAACTTTCAACCCTGACTTATGTGACTCACATACAAAAACATCTCCCTTTTGCATGACATAAGTTAAAATTTAAATGAGCTTACAAAAAAAAAAAAACTTTCAGCATTCTAGTTCATTACTTTATCTAGCCCCTCAAAACTGCATGCAGAATCCTGGCAATTGAAGACCAGTCTTACATAACAAAACTATAATTTCAAGATTAAATGCCTTTTAGTGCTGTAAAGTCCATCCACAGAAAAAAATATATTTATAGCACTTTGATAATCCATCCAATGCTAGGCTCAAAAGCTACTCCTTAAAATGCATAGATTCCTCTGGATCAGTGTTAACGGAGCTCGAGTAGCCAAAGGCATGAAAGAATTAGCTGAGACAGCTGTTTTTCCCTCTTTCAGCTGAGTGTTTGCTTGTATTCCTGCTGCAGTGATCTGCCAGCTGTGCTCATGGAAGGTATCATAGAATTTCTGTCCCATGGCGGTTTTAGCAGTGCAGTGTTGAGAGACTGTGTGTCTGCAAGTGCTTTGTTGCTATCAGGTTTTTTTTTCAACCTCTTTTTCAAGATCAAAGGTTCTAAGACACATGAGTCAGCCTACTATTGATACAAATTGTTTTTTGATATTGATTGTCCTGGCTTCATTTCACAGCATTGTACAGTTCTAAAAGAGTGTATTGTTTCCACCTGTCCACAACACAAACCGAGGGCTAAACTCCCAAACCTTTCTATTTTAGGCAATGTTAGGTATAGAATAAGTGTCAGTATATCTATGAGTAGTAAAATTGGGGTTTAACAAATGTTATGGAAAAGTTACCACTAAGTGCAGACTGGAAAAGCAATCAGGAGCCAATATACGGAACAGGCTAAACTGTAATCAACCCTTAGCATTCTTTTTTTATATTGTCTACATGGCCCTTTAAAAGCGGACCTTTACTCCCTTTCACTAGAAACACATCAGTATGCAGCTCTGCATGCTGACATGAAATCGTCTTACATTTATTAGTTAAACAAACATATTTTGCTTTAATTTACAATTACTGTTTTTCTACTCCCTGGTCCTCTTTGGCACAAATGATGTAATGTGCCCAAGTGTTGTATCCTCAGAAGGTTACATCAGCAGCGCATTGCTGTAATCTCATGAGATCTCAGGGAAAGCCATTTTGCTCCCCTGAGATGATGTGCATGGTCACATGTCCTAGTCACATGTGCCAGAGTTCCAGGAATTAAAGGGAGATGGATTAATCTGCCATTAATAAGAATGGCCACTGTGAGAAGACTGAGGAGGAAAAGAAAAATAAGGTATATAAAGAATAAAAAGCCTGGAATTATCTAAATGTATCTGTTTGTACATTGTCATTACTAAACATTTATAAAGGTGTATTTGTTGTCATTTCAAAGATATGGGTAAAGTTCCTCTTTATGAATATATTAATTTGTCAGGTGTACCTCATTAATCCAATGTCCTTTCTGGATTTTATTTTTCTCCATGTTCTTTCAAAAAGGCTTTTCATGTCCCTACTGATTCATTTATTTAATTAAGAAAGCAATGTAGACCAGGACATCTTTCTAGACAAAGAATGTCTAAAGGCCTGCACTGGAAAGGCCCCATAGACCCATGTCTAAGGTTATAACATGCTACCGCATGGAAGGCCAGCCCCCTTCATGCGTCAGAACTAGGAACTACATTAACTCCATTAATTAATTAGGTTCTAGTTGTAATTAACCCAAAGAACCTTGCTTACAACTACCAAGCACTCAGGTCTGGTCTTGAGACTGAGCTCTAAGAGGGTCACTGCAGTCCAAAGGCTGTTTTCCATCTGGCTCCCTCTAGACAATCTTAGGAGAACCCTTTCCCCCTTCTCTCCATTGCCAATGAGTGTAATCTTCAGCATTCACTTAATCCTTGAGAAGGTCTGGGCGGTCACCAAGCACACCAGCTGCCGCTGCCAGAATAGAACCCCCACAGATGCCAAGCTTATCTCTTCAGCTTCTCAGCCTCAGCTCAAGGAATGAATGTCCAGTCGGGTTCAGATCAATCAAACTCAAGCTTTTCTCCATATATTGGTAAATTAACAGCAGAATAAATGTCTCTTCCACAAGCAGTAGATGGTATAACAGTGCTTGGCTTATAGGACATCATTTCTAGCAATTGGACTGATGCATAATTATTTCCTAAAAGAGAGTAAACTATATTTCTGGCTTGCCCTTCTTCCATACTTTAGGATACCTCCACATATCGGGGTGCTTACACCTCA